TTCAAATAAAGTTTTCAAAATTGTATGTGACTCTGGTCAAGAGGAAAACCTTATGGACATTTTCAAAACATTAGAGTGGAGCTGATGGATGACAAGAGCTAATGACATGTGTCTGGTTTTGTGCTTTTTTAAAAATGTATATCATAGCACTACAATTCACCAGGTGATCACACAATCTGATATGAGAGTCTCACACTGCAGCTTCTTACCTTACTATTTTGAAAGCGTAGTTGAAAAAATTTAGTTTTTTTTGTAATAGAGTATGAACATTTGGGAGACGTAGCAAATGTTTCCAATATGTTTGTGATGATTTTGGTGCAAATACAAAATTAGACAAGTTCATCAGCAACATAGGATTGATTTGTGCACAGCATTCACAGGAGTATCTTCCCAGCTGCTGAACACAGCACATCATGATGAGGACTGAATGCTAAACCAAGACTATTTATTATTCTTTGTATGTGTACTATTTGAAGAATATTAAGAAAAGCCATGAAATATGCAATGCCTTTCTTACATATGTTTAACCAGTTGTTTAGTTAAGACTTGACTCTATATGGTCCACAGACACAGTACCAGGAACAGATTGATCAAGCGAAGAACGGCAGGAGAGTCAGTGAGTTGTCTCCAGTCAACATCAACAACCAGTCTGAACCTCCAGCACAACCAGTAAGACTTCTCACCAGATCAGCCACACCAGTTTTTCTTTTCTGTTTTATATCATTGTAAATTAATATTTTGTACAACTGCAATTAGACTGAGTTTTTGTAGGTCCAATAACTCCAACTCACATCAGTTCAGGAGTCACATTCTTTAGTTAAACTTCATATCAGTAATTTAAGATGATAACTGCAGTAGTTTACAGATGTTATTTTAATGTGTCAGATACATATTTAATCAACATTTAGATAAATATAAGCCTTGGATCCCTTGTACTAATTAAATGTTTAGTATAAAACTGTTAACTGTTTCCTTTTCTGTGTGAATGTTGCAGCTCTCTGTGACAGCCAAAGAGTTTCCCACTCAGTCTTCAGCCCAGGCGTCACATGGCGCCCCCTCGCCCACCCACAAGTCTGCAGCTGAGCCACTTGCCCCTCCGGCTCAGACGCAGCACAGACCTCCACCCAGGGCACTGGAGCATCTACACAGCACTGTGTTTGACAGAGCCATGGAGCGCCTGTCCACCATTTTCCCTGACTATACAAGGTAACACTGGACCACTGATGGCTACATTAGACACACTTTTGACTGCATGTAACTTACCTCTTCATCAGCTATTTTAAAAAGGTCATTTTTCCCCACAATTAGTTGAAAAATGTACAAATCAAATAGTACATAAAGTTCTGCTAAAACAAATGTTCAGGTATGTTTCTGTTTTTAGTGCTCTCTACTAGAGTTACATGGATGAATATTGGTTTCAGCCAATAAGCAACAAGACATTATAGGACAGAAATACTAAACTAGGTTTGAGATCATTTGGAGCCGATTTCACCATTACACAGTTTGTCCACCAAAGAGCTTTTTTCCAACTATAACGTGTCTGGCTCAGCGTGTATCCTGGATCTAATTCTTAAAAGACAAATCTGAAGGATCTGTATCAAGATTATTTATGTTTATATTTTAAAAATTACTATTGGCAGATTATTATATACAATTTTATTTGGGTCTCAAAAAACATTTTTAATTTTTGCCTCCCAAATATCGATATCAGTGATTACCTCAAAAATCGCATATCAGTTTTTGTTAACATTATCCACTTGTGGACTGTGATGAATGGAAGTAAACAAAATTAGGAAATGTCACAGCACTGAGTTTGAGCTTAAAAAGAACAAATCAGGCAAATTTCCACTGGCAGAACATGTGGGTAATAAAATAAATTTTCTGTGTGTGTGTGCAGGTTGGACTTGATGAGGTTTGTTCAGGAGTTCCGTTCATCCAGCGGTGGAAGCCTCAGCAACATGGCGTTGCAGGATGTGGTTGGTGGAGTGACCCAGTTGATCCTGGACCATCAGGTAGGTGTGGTTTTGTAAAGGTTTTCACTGGTCCGTATTTCTGAACCTCACCTGAAACAGATCTCTGGAAAACCAACCCAAATCTCAAGTACATACATGTAAATGAATTTAAAAGAAGAGAGTGAGCCAGTACAAAATATAGGTTTATTAGGCCCAATCAAAATCTTTTGTCCACTTCACATTTCACACAGTCCGTCTGCATCAGAAAACAAATTCGGATTCGCCACATGATCAGATTAAATGTCTGTCCATTGACTAATTAGGGCAGACAAAATCATGTGTGGGGGAGTTTTTTTTTTTTTTTTTTAAAGCTTGTCTATGAACTTCACACACTCAGCCACTCTCCTGTCGAGCTCTTGGAATCAGAATTATTTTCTCTGGCTGTTTGAGCTCCTCAATTATGACATGCAGTGACACTGTTGATTCTTGGCGCTTGATAGATGATTGTGTTGGCTGTTTTTCCCTTTCCCTCTCAGGAGAAGCTCAATTCTGTCAGATCCAACATTGTGGGACGTGGGAGTCCAGCTCAGTGTGCTACTCCCCCTTTGGTAAACCCAGTTACCGTCTGGCAGCCAGTTGGATCCCACAGAGCCACACATCCCAACGCAGTAAGTCCAGAATCATCCAACAGTACAAACTGTACTGGCATTATTCATTATTCAAAGGTTTTGACTTAAAGCAGCAAAAACTGTTGACCCGAAGCAACAGAAAGCAAATTTGTAGGTAAACACAAGGATTAATGGATGGATCTTCATGTTGCAATCAAGACTTTGGAGAAGAAATAAACATTTTAACACTTTATCAGTGTTGTTAACCCGCTGTTTGTGCCTCTGTAGGCTACTGATTGTGTCCCAGAGCACTTAAAAGACATAGTTGATTTTAGAAGGAAAATTATCCTGGATTAGGGATGAAACGTTTTTGATTATCAATTAATCTGTCACTGGAGTGACAAATCGTTTAATCTAAAGGCATCAAAAAAGATGAACATATTTCCAAAATAAGCCGTTTCCCATTACAATTCACCAAAGTCCAACTTAATAATGTCAAATTTTATTTAGAGAGCACAGCACTATACAACGTAAACAGAAGAAACAAGCAACTACAATGGTGAGATTTGAAGAGATGAAATACAGAATAAAAACAAGACACAAAAAATCAGGGTAAGCTATGCAATAAGAGTTAGTGATTTTAAAAGAGAATATATTCTCACATCAGCAAATCTCTTCAGGCAGAAGATGGATTAGATGGAAAGACCATGTTTTGGAGTAAATTTAAAATATGTTAGTGATTGGTATGCTAAGATACTAATGTAGCAGGAGTAACATGTACTATGTTCACCATCTGAGTTGAGTGTTAGCATGCTAATAGGCACAAAACACAAAGTACAGCTGAGGCTGATGGGAATGTTATTAGTTTAACAGGATTTGATGTTGGTCATGAACCAAAGTATTGGACAAATAAAGCGTTTGACCTGATGTTGGTGCTAGAAGAAAACTAAGCAGATCACTCCTGATGCAGAGGGAAACATGAATGTCTGCACCAGATTTCACAACAATCGTCTCACCCACACTGCCATGCGCAGAGAAAAAAAGCGTAACTTCCCTTAGACATTAATGAAGTACTCAACAGTACTGTCAGTCGTCTACAGTCTCCACTTTGGAGCTGACTGTGTGCGTGTCTTGACTGCAGCTCAACATGGAGGATCCCTGCATCATCTGTCATGATGACATGAGTCCAGATGACATCTGCGTGCTGGAGTGCAGACACAGCTTCCATAAAGAGGTGAGCAAGAATACTGGTATTTGATACTTAACACTTGACACAGGAATACTGGTGTTTCAATTGGACCATCCAGGGAGGATTTAATTATTCTTCCTGTAGTTACGGCTCATAAACGCTGCATGTTATCCTGCAGTAAATTCCAAACTGCTGCGCTGCAGCGATAAAATAATTGTTCCAATTGTTCTCAGATTAGCGATGACTAACTATTTCTCTTGACAGAGAGCTGGAAAAGAAAACGTGTTCTTGGATATAATCGGTTTAATGTAGACTTCTTCTTAGAAGGTGCCCTGTGGAACAGATCTTTGTTTAGATTTAGTGCCACCTTGAAATCATGGAAATGTGTTGAATTAATTTCTTAGCTCATAGAACTACTTTTTTGTAATATTTTAAATTTTATATTGCATTGTTTACTAGGGCTGGATTTTTTTTCCAAATTGTGATTTTTACTTAATTGATGCAATATTGATTCTTAATCCTTTGACCGATCTTTGCATTGGCACCATTTCTCAGTAAACATTCATCTGTGCTGAATGTTGTATGTGTGCAGTGGGTACTTGTTGTAAGTGGTTCAGTTAGGGCTCTATGTATGAAATGATGTATAAAAGATCTTTGTGGAAACTGAGTTATTACAATGTGCACAAAAAGGTTATTTGAAGTTTAAAAGTATCAGATGAACAGGCGACGGTCGGTTTTAATGTGCTGCACTTATTCTGTTTGTGTTCAGTGTATAAAGTCATGGCTGAAGGAGCAGAGCACCTGTCCCACCTGCAGAGATCACGCCTTGTTGCCTGAAGATTTCCCTGTGCTGCCTGGCAGGAGACGCCAAGCCCCATAATGTCTTAATCCAGATTGTCTTGTTCTTCATTACTTAAATGTTTGCTTTTATGTTAATAATTTGATTTTACTTATTGTTCCATTAAAATCTCTTTTTTGTATCATTAAATTGTTGATGTGCAAGAAGACAAGAGTTTATACTCTGAAGAAATAAAACTTGTGTGTGAGCACGTCTTTGTCATATCTTCATCTGTCACATCCCACAATGGTCAAATTAAGAATTTCTGAAGGTAAACCCTGCTCTCTATTACTGCCATTAAGATCACAGGTTTGTGCAAGTGTGTGTGTTTTTTTTAATTAACTAAGAGCCTTAAAATCCTGGAAAGTCCTAACACTTCTTAATGAGTTGTAATGTCTCTGATCATCATGGTCTGCAAGAATGTGATGTTTATTAAATTGAAATATAACTTTCAGAAAATCAAAGATTTTCTCTACATTGATATTTATTATTAATTCATGAAGGAAAATCTTAATTCAGACTGGGCTCTATTAAGTCACATTATTCATCAGCAGACTCACTCTGGGTTAGCATTATTTCTTTTTCCGGCTTTAGAGGAGCTGTTGCATTATGCAGAAAACCAGTTCAGATCTCCACAGAGAACAAAACTAGGGCAGATTCATGTCCTCTGCACAGGACAGGTTTGTGGTTTCAAAACGCACAGTCCTGCTGTTTGTCGTATGAAGGGTCAAAGTCAGCAGCAGCAGGCCTCCAGGGATGTTACCCGAGTGCTGGTGTGAGATCCAGATTCAGACTCTGCAAAGCTTCAGGGGGAAGTTCTCTGTGATCAGATGGTCATCATGAAGCACGATGACAACGTTGACTTCGAACTCTGAAGGACAAAGAAACATGGTCGCATCACAAGAACAGAAGTGCAAAATATCAGACATTTTTGTGTGTTTACTGTAAAAACAATTGCATTGTAGGGGGTTATGTGCTGACTATTTCCCTTAAATTTAGTACTTAAAATATTATTACCAAGAAATGTAGTAAGAAAGATAATTGACAATTATCCTTTAAGAGTAGACTTTACTGGTACTGATGTAGCTGTAAACAGCTGCAACAATTTGTTGATTATTTGATAGAGAGAAAATTAATTGGCAACTATTTTGATAGTTGATTAATTGTTTTAATAGTTTTCCATGTTGAAATGCGTAATTTGCTGATTTTCCTGGCAAATTGTGACTGTACACTGCAAAATGAGCATTGGAAAATTAGAGCAGGCACCTTTCCCTATTTTCTGATATTTCAAGGACAAACTGATTGAGAAAATACTCAAATCCTAGATTATTAAATATTGAAAGTAATCGTCAGTTACAGCCCTACAGCAGGCCCCGCGTTATATATGCACTATTGCAGCTCTGGGAGGGATTACACTAAGAAAAATGAAAATTTATACTAGGGCTGCATGTACAAAAAAATCATATTGCGATTATTTTGGCAGATATCGGGATTGTGATTTCAGTTGGAATGGTCTTTTTTACATTTCATTTTCACTGAAAATTTTTTTTAAATAATGATGTGATTTTTGTTGGGTCTTATACCAAACAAACGTGTTCCTTTACGTCAGGAGAATATGACTTGTTGTCTGGGGCGTCTCTGTAGCACCACAACGCTTATGGTGCTAACAATGCACAGCAATGTGATGCATTTTACTTTCATCAAAAGAATTACAGCTCCTGCGATTTGGTTAATGCACTTGGCCATATTGCAATTTCGATTATATTTCGATTAATTGTGCAGCCCTAATTTATATTGCATAAGTGAATGAAAACATTATTGTAAGAGTACATAAAGCAGACTGGAAGGCTTTACTGACCAACTTTGAAATTGGTGGTCTCCAGTGTGGGGCAGGTGAACAGCCTGGGGAAGATCATGTAGATGGGAATAGAGAGGCTGTGGCAGACATCACCTTCAGCTATCTGGATGTTCTGGATCTCTGTGGCATCTCTGGCGTAGCCTTCAGCACAACCTATACACAGCAGACGTTTAAAAAACCTGCAGCTCTGTTGCTGGAGAAGAAAGGTTGATTCAATCATCTGGCAGCACAAACTTACCACAGGTTTCTACTCGCACAAGCTGCAGTTCAATACTCTTGATGGGAACGTCTGAATTCTCCACCACCACCTCTCCCGTCAGCGGCTGGCTGATCACACAGTTGGTGGCGTCTAAATGGCCTCTGATTAGAAACTTTGGCAGTGAACTCCTCTGAAGACAGAAAGGAAGTTTGTCCTCTCAGTACAGCTTTAAATAAAACAAAATGATGCAATAAAATGAAGTTAAGGAGCGATGTAGCTTTCTCACCTCACGGATGTTTTGTAAGGTGTCTGGAGTGATGGTGAAGTTGACCGGAGTGGGGGCAACTTTAGCTTTCTGCGGCTGAAAAACAACCAGAGAAACAGATTCCACACAGTCCAACAAAACTAACATCTCATCTGAAAGAGATGCTGATGACAAGATCATTCCGAATCTGAATCAAATGATTGGATACGATATTCAACATAATCACGCAAGGCACTTCTCAGTTTTTCAGGTGCAGATGTGATGTATAATGCCCCAAACACATGTGGTGTTTGTGTCACACAAAAGAACAAAGATAAATCCACCTTTAATTTAGGCAAATCTCAAGAGACATTAGACAAAGATTGACCACACAAATATCCAGAGAGCAACAAATTTTTACTAAAAACAAGTAAGGTAATGAAAAATAATAAATGTCCTAAATCTGACTGTATGACTTAACTGCATTAAAACCCTGTGCTAGTCTGGTTTGAATCTTGATAACAGCTTTACAGTCCTAAAATTCTGTAGCTTCATACAACTCACAATGCCACAGGGAAGGAAACAAACAAACAAACAAACAAACAAACAAACAAAAAGCTCTAAACTCTTATTTAGATTATTTTTGCAGTTTATTTAAAATCACATCTGTTTCACTCACCTGACAGTGTACGATAAACTCACAGTTCCTGCTCAGGTCTTTGGCCAGCAGGGAGCGCTTCATGTCACAGCGGAGGGTGTACTGAGGAGAGGACACAAACAAGATAGTTTAAACAGAAAAACTGAATTTGAAACATACTGTACCACAACTATTTGAATATTAACTTTAAGTGATATACTTTTTTTAATTATCAAAATTATCTTCTGCATAAGATCTTGTTTGCTTTGGATTCATTTATATCTGAGTTTGTAGGTAACAGTGAGTCTTTGTGTACATGTTGTCCTGTTTCTGTCTGTTATTATTTATGATACACAATGTCCAGTTACAGTTTTGACAATCACTTCTAATAAGACTCAAGCTATGGGTCCCTCACTCACCTGAATGTTGACAAAGACACCGTGGTAGGTCTCGTACAGCACTTTGTTGCCTTTTGTGTTCAGAGGGAACTCAAAAGGGATCTCGGTCTTGCCTCCTGGGATCTTTCCTGCCTTTGCCACTTCAATGTTACAACTGATCAGCTGGATGGGCTGCAAAATGTGACGGAAAGGTCTGATTAAGACTAGCAACAGTTTGCCATTTTTGCTTTACTTCACAAGTTAATCCATTATCAAAATTGTAGCTGTTTTTCTGTTGATGGACTAACTGATTAACTGTTTCAGTACTAGTAAGTATTTACTTTTTGTTGCTTCTGTTCTGTCTTTATGGTGATGAATCTAACATCTATGAGGATGAGTGAGGTTTGACCTATCACGAGGAAGACATTTATTTGAACTTTAGACCTCCTGACTGAGAGCTGAAATTACTCAACTCCACTTCACACAGTTCACCTTGACAGAGTTGTAGAAAGCCTCGAAGACGCCGACACTCTTGGAGCTCAGCTGCAGGTTCACCAGTCCCTCCATGCTCAGAGAGATGCCGTGGTGCTGCAGCGGCTCCTTACACATCAGCACAATGACACCAGCCACCACTTCCTGCACAAAAACACACACTGCTGAGGTCCTGGCCGCTGCTCTAAGTCCTATGAAGATGCCCAAAGTGTGCAATCATCATTTTAATCTATTAAACTCTGATGTCAAGCCCTGTTAGACTAACTTGTACAATCAATGCATCCTTTCACGCCCCATTTTGATCACAGCTGAGGTTGCAGGTGAATGGTGCAGCAACCCAGGCAGAATTATCTGCACCAGTGTTGCACTGAATTCTGTGACCCATCAGATTCTGTGGCCTGATTAGGAATTTCAGTTATATTGCCAGTAAATAACTCTCATGTGCACCAGAGGGCAGAAGAAAAACTCCTTACAAAACACCCCTTACCATGCAGTTATTTAGGTAAATAAAGTATCTGTTCTTTTTAAAAAATATGTAAAACATCAGACTGTCAGAGCAAAAATGTAAAAAAAAAAAAAAAAGGCTTTTCATTATAAAATGACATCCATAACCCATAACCCCAACGCTAACCCTGTTTTTTCTATTCTATATTCTTTATTTAATTAATGCAAGTCTTTTTAACACATGACATAATCCTACACTGGCCAAAGAATGAGACAGGACAGTGGATGTGATTTAAAATTGTTTTTGATTACCTCAGCACAGAATCCCCAAACTGGGGTCAGTAATCATCTAATAAGTACCTGGGTTAGAGATGCACTTCTCCCATATAACTGATCAGTATCAGCCCAGATACTGACCTTATTGAGCAGATTGGGTATTATTAATAATAATAGTGCTAGGTGGGTGTACATTGAGTATAAATTGGTTTGGGAAAAAATACGTTTTCAAAAAATCAAAGTTTCACAAATCTGAGAGTAAATATCAAACAGGCTTTAACTACAGTGTCTAAAACCCTTTCACAGTTTCAAGAGGTTCAAAAAACGGAAGCTACAGGTCTGAGGGGGGTCACAGATATTAGCTCATCAGCTGCTGGTCATGTGCTGACAGGACGTCATCGCCTCCTAACTAACAAGCTAGTTAGTTATTTAGTCAGTTACACTCTTTTACTAAGTTAAATTCAACGCCAATACAGAAAAGCTGGCGTTAATGTTAGCTAAAAGGCTAGAGAAACAGTTAACGTTAGCTGACTGTAGTTAACGTACTTACCCCCTCATGATAAACTTTGTTTGCTCTTTTCAGTCTTATATCCAAAGTGACGCTCATGTCTGACCGTGACACATCAGTCAGACATTTAAAGAACTGATTGTTGAGGCTCTTTCTTGTTAATACAATAAAAATATCGGCGTTATTCTATTTACATCTGCCAAACTAGCTTGTTTCTTCCGCCGGCAGCAGTATCAACACAACGTCCGGGCCGATTCCTTCAGAATAAAAGCGGCATCTCAGTTTGCGTTCCTTGAAAACGTTTCCGGCTTAATTCCTTCAAAGTAAAATCGTACTTTCCACAAATCTAAAACAACTAAAGGCAAAGTAACTTAAGTACTTTACAAACCGAAACAAAATAAAATAAATAAATATCTAAATAATATTACTTTAAAAAAAAAAGAATTAAAGAATCAGTGTTCCACAAAATACAACAAATATATCCTCCCATTCACCTCTATGCAAATCATTGAATTCTGTTTAACCATGTTTTGACACATCTGTCTCTTGTGTTTCCACCTCCACCCTAATATAATGGAGATGAACAGAATTTAATTTATGTGATGTTCAAAGCATTCAGAAATGTAAAATGCAAATGCAATGCAATTGAAATGGGAATGCTGGCTTCTGCACAAGCTGAAGCTAAACTGTGTTGCTGGCTTGAATTTGTATGAAGCAGCAGTTGAAGTAATATTAGGGATAGGGAAAAAAGGGAAAGGGATGAAGAATGCAAACTGCAGTGTAAGCATATAGTGTAACTGAGTTAAAGAACATGCAGAAGGAAAGTTTGAATGATGTTTTTACGGGAAAGTAAGACTGTGTAGGAGGAGCCTATTCCACCAATAATCCAAAGATCTCACTGTAAATAGTTTTCACTGGAACTACTCTTTACTGAAGAAATAGTCCCAAGGAGGGCTGTTAAGAGTGTGATTTTCAATGTAATTGTCAACGCAGTGTGCACCACCAGCAAAATTCCTTTTACTGCCATTGTACTGCAGTGAAAGCATGAGCACAGTTAAACCCAAAACTATCTGCATCGATAGAATTTGTTGTACTGTGGTGACATCTTGAAGCTTAAGTGTTCACAGTCATAACATTTGAATTCTAGTATTTCAAGAATATATGGTGCATATATGTGGTAATCTCTGTTTATTCATTTAGGATGCTCTGATTGTCAGGAGTGCAGTGTTTAGATGTCTTTTCTAGCTAAGACAATAGTTTTTACTAAAGTAGCTGTTGATCAAAATGTTTGCCCTCTGTCTCTGAAAGTAAAAGATCAGTTGTGCTTTGGATTGAAAGATTGTTTTGACCAGATACAGTCACCAACAGTCAGCTGAAGCTTAAGTGTTGCCACAACAAGAGCTGACAGCTAAAGGCCTGAGAGAGTAGAGCTGCAGTCTGAATGTATTGTCTTTCAAATGGCTCGAGTCATTTATCCTTACATCCATTTTCTATCACCACAGTTACAGCAGGGGATCCTTTAATGAAGTAAATTTCAATATCATAGTACAAATTTACACTTTTAATTCCTGCATTCAAAACCTGACATAAATAAATGTAATCAGCAACAAAATGTACTTAAAGTATCAAAAGAGAAAGTACTCTTCATGCAGAATGGCCCCAGAGTGTTATGCAGTTATATATTACATTACTGAATTACAGATACATTATTGTCATAAAAATCTTGAAGTAGGAGTCAGATAAACTGGATCAACAAGTACAACACTTGTGTCTGAACTGAGTGGAAGTAGAAGCTGCATAAAATGTGATACATCAAAACTATACTTACAGTATTTGGGTAAATGTAGTTAGTTACTTTCCACCATTCACTGTTCCTACATAGAGTCATTATTAACTTCAATTCAACATTCAATTCAGTTTTCACAAAAATGAACACAACACTGTTATTTTTACTGAATAAAGACACATTTATTTACAAACCAAACAGTAATTACCAAACAGTAATTATTTATATTAGCCTCTGTATTATATACCCCCGTGTATCACCATTATACCCTCATAAGACTCATCTGTCCGAACTGAGTGACACATAACAATGCTTACATCTGATTTACAAGATTAATTACAAATTCAGTAACAGTGAAGCACCTGTCAGTGTGTAACAGGCACTAACATATTCTCATATTTATCTTCTCCAGGCAGAGAGATGCTTTATGTTTTAAAATTAGAAATCCACCTAAAAGACTGAAACTACAGGCGGCCATATGTTTCTGGACTGAAGCTTCCAGAAGTTCTGACCATCAGTATTTTTAAAGGAGCAGTCTGATGTTTTGGGAATAATGCTTGTTCAGTGTCACACACGTCCAGATGAGCAGCTTGATATCAGCTTCATTTCTGTGCATTAGCATAGCTTAGCACAAACACTGGAAACAGGGGGAAACTGCTAGCCTATAAGTTTGTCAAAAGTGAAAAATACACCTTCCATCAAATCTGTCTTATTAATTACATTACACTGTATATGTGTGTATATGTTATTTAGATATTTCCTGACCAACAACTACTGAGCATTATGAATATTAGCAACATTGCAAAAGCCCACATTCTGCTAAGCTAAGCTAAGCTAAGCTAAACACCACTCGTAAAACCAACAAGTTGTCATTTTTACTCTTCAAGTTTTGCACATAATGGACAAAAACAAGATATAACGTGTTACTGTTTCCAGTGATAATTGCTGTAGCTTCACATTTTGCATACAAGTGGTATCAATCTTCTCATCTAACTCTTTGCAAAAAGGTAAATAAGCGTGATGGAACACAGGATCTAAAGAAAAATTAAATTATTATTTAAAAAAGCCCTGAAGCATTTACAATTTGGGAACACTAAAACCCTCCACTAAAACCCAGTCTCATTAATTTTCTTTGGGGTCATCAACCCTCGTTATCCAACCAATAATTAAGAACAATTCTGGTATACTTCATGAGATTAAAACTTTGAAATTAATATTTTAAAAAAGACATCAGAATGATTAAAAGACGAAATAAAATGTGCAGAGAAATTATATTTTCATATCAGGTTTTCTAGTCTGCTGGAAAATTTGATTTACAAAAACAAGTATTGTTATGAGAAACAGGACCAAATCAGTTTTTATATGATATTTTACAACAATATTCAAATAATGTGTGTTTGAATTAGGGCTCATAGCCGTGAGAGTAACAGGCACAATACAGTATAGTACCACATTTATCCTCTATTCTTTTTTATAGTCCTCCTCAATTTTTAGCTTCTCTGTGTTGTTTCTGAGGAGGGCTGCATCGTTGCTCACTTGTACCTTGTCAAAAAAGTTGAAATCTGCCACATAGCGGCCACCAGTGGTGCTGAACAGCACCGGCTTGAACTCGTAACCCCAGAGGATCTCCTGGGGAATGTAAGATGTGCGGCTCTGACACGTGGCTGCCGTCGACTCCATTGTGGCATTGAGGGTGACCAGCAGCTCAAACTCTCGGGTGTGAAGGTTTTCTGCGTTCAGTCCTACCAGTGGGCTGTGATCGTCCAGAACGTGGTAGAAGGTGAGCGGGAGGATGAGGAAAGGGCACTCTCCACTGGAGTCCATCTGAAAATCAACAGAGGTCTGGTGGACTTGTGTCTTCTCGCCTTCCTGTGTCACATTTGAGTGGAGGAGCTTTCCTGTTAGCTGGCACTGGATCAAAAGGCTCTTCCTCATGTTAGCCACTCTCACCATCAGACACAGCTTTCCCTGGCGCCAGCAGATCACTGCCAACTGGCTGAACTTGATGGTCTCTGCCCGCTTCTTGGGCCGAGCAAGTTTGGCTAGAAAGGCACCAGTGACAAAGATCTCAGCCAGGCCGGTGATGACGAGCTGAGCCACCAGGGTGAAGATAGCCAGAGGACATTCCTCAGAAATATAACGAAAACCATAGCCAATGGTGGTCTGTGACTCCAGAGAGAAGAGGAAGGCTCCAGTGAGTGTCTCCACGTTCATTAGACAGGGCGTGTGGTTCGAATTCAAACCACCCTCAAAGTCTCCGTTGCCCATGCCAATGAAGTAAAAGATGACCCCAAAGAGGAACCAAGTCATGACAAATGTAGAAGCAAACAGAGTGAGTTTGTAGCGCCATTTCATGTCCACCACAGTGGTCCAGATGTCATGCAGGTACAGCTTGACCATGCCCTCCACGTTGTCAATCCGAACATTGTTGTGGCCGTCCTTGGACACAATCCTTCGCTTGACCTCTGCCTTCCTGTTGGTCATGTTGCTCTGGGTCAATTAAAACTGACAGTGTCTTCTTAGTTTTGCATTGCCAGGGGAAGGACTAACACAAAAACAGAAAAGATATGATTATTATCTCACCTGGAGCTATATTAATTTCAGTGTCATCCAAATTACAAAACAAAAAACAAATTTTCTCTGGTGTCTAGCCATGCTGATGTATTTGGTTTTAGAGATATCTGTCAGTAAGTATTCTGCCTACACCTCAGTACAATGGGGATGGATGGAATATAATATGTGCTGCTCAACTTGTCCTGCCAGTTGCAGTGTCATGGTTACTGTGGTACACTAGTACACTTATTAACTTATTAACCTTCTTGCTGAGAGTTAGATGAGAGGATTAATATAACTCTCATATGGGTCCATTCGATATAAAGCTATCGCCAGAAGCTGCTTAGCTTAGCTTAGCATAAAGACCAGAAACAGGGGGAAACAGCAGGGGTCTGTCAAGCTGTAACAAGGTCCACCAACAAGTGCCTGTGCAGTTCATAAATTAACATGTTAAATCTCATTGTTTACCTTTGGACAGAGCTTACTGTTTCCAATTGGATTTCCATTGCCCACTACATTTCCTTTTCCTTCTGTTTTTTCATGAAACATTTAGATGGTACTGGTAAAACAGTGCAAAGCGGTCTTATTACTTTTATTCTGCAATTATAGAAAATTTGATGAAATGCTTTATAACTATCTGCTAGAAAATAAACCCTGTAACAGAGACATGAGACCTCTGCATAAGTCCAACTTTATGATCCATTAAACACAAAAAGGCATGTTTCTGACAGAACAGTTATGATGTAATTATTCAATCTTTTTTATAGTAAATCTCACATGAAAAGCAAACAATTAAATATACAACTATTTGGAAAACTTCCAAGACCCTTCCCTGCTCTTTCCAGAAATTCAGACAAGCCTTCCGTCACCCAAATTTTCACAAAATAGAAATGCTCCAGTAAAATACCAGCACTTGGGAAATGTGAGCATGAGCTAAAACATGAAAAAACTTTGGTATGTTCCTTTAAAGTTGATCAAGATTTGTCTTCCGAAGGGGACAAAAAATACATTCAACACAAAAATTAAATGATGATCTTCAAAAATAAAAAAAATGACAGACTTAATGAATAAAAAAATATTTCACAAAATTCAATATATGGAAAAAACAGTGTCAGTGAGTGAGTGTCAGTGTCTGCATAACATCCTGCTGTCACAGACGGCTGTTACTTCTCACAGTTAATACAATGACAAAGTTGAAAGTTAATCTCGCAGTAAACCATTGCAGGAGCTCGAGAGGACACTTTAAATAATGATTGATCGGTTGATAAATCTGAGTGTATTATACTCATACTCATACTCACATCCCGTTGTGCTGTTGAGCTTGTTGAATAGTTACGGGTGTTTGTGTTCAGTTGTCTCAGGGTCACACACAATCTGTAAGATGAAGCTGCCAGAGAACATCTAGTTCAGTGTCTTCTTTCTCCTATTGTCCCGAGTTGTGAGCGCTGAACTTTGGCACAGAGGTATTCAGGTGAGAACAGAGATGAGAGACAAAGCCGAGCTGTAAACTCTGATCTACATGTGGGTTGGCTTTCATTCCTCCGCCTCTCCTACCTGTACACATGTGCGAACAGCAACCCTGAACACTTGAAGTTTGTTTTTGAGCCTTTTATGGTTGTTGTTGCTTTACACACACCCAGATTTACTGCTTCCAGTGCCTGACAGTTCTCTGAAGGGCACTTGGAATTCTTGGGCACTTTTGGTGTCACTACAAATAAAAGGTGGTCAGACTGAATTCTGGTCTAACTGAAAACCAGACAAGGCTAGTTTTAACATAATGAGTCTTTGGAGTTTTTGTAATGTCTGTGGTTGACAGAAATAGCTGAAGTTGAAGTGAAACACTGAAAGAAGTTGATGTGGTAGCAAAAATTGAAATTTAACAGTCAGTTGAAGTTTAAAAACTGAAAGGAGTTGAAGTGCAAGCACTGAAAGAAGCTGTAATAATAGTTTAAGTAATAAAAGGAGCTGGAAGTGTCAGTTGAAGTAAATCTCATTAACAGAGAACACAACTTGAAGCAATTTTAAAATGAAATAAATTATTAGAAATAAAATCAAGCTCTGTATCCAGTGAAAGGAGTTGAAGTGTCAACCAAAGTGTAAGCTCTGAAAGCAGTTGAAGTGTAAGTGGGGATTCAGACCTATGTTGAAACAACACAGGGGGCTGTTGACGGTCTGAACACGACCTTATACTGCAAACTTCAGGCATTGTCAGACAAATTGATACTAGCTGTCAGTGACAGACAATTACAGACTAGTGACCTCTTGTGGCCATTGGATCACAGATACATTATACATGTTTTCCAAACTGCGCCAAAACCACACAATCAATACAAATGGAGGAAACATGCCAAAACAAAAATATTTTGGCCATATTACAACAAAAAGACAAAGAAAATTGCTTGTGTCCGCACTAAAAGTTTGACTATGGTTTACACTTGTAAATAAGTTGAACTGTGAGGTTGAGATTAGTTGCAGTTCACTTGAAGTTAAATCCTGGAAGAGGTTGGTGTAAAATAAAATGTAAAAAGATGTGTCATTTGAAACGCGCGTAATAAAAGGAGTTGCAGTGTTGACTCAAGTGAAAGTGTGAAAGCAGCTGAAGTATCATGTGAGGTGTAGAAGGTGAAAGGAATTTGAAAGGTTGTATGAAGTAAAAGAGCTGAGAGCAGATAACTTCTGTCCAAAAGTCAGTTGAGTGTGAGCTGATGTGTAGGTGGTAGGAGCAGTTCAAACTGAAAAGTAATGGAAGTGGTATAAGTGCTGAGTGAAAATGAAGTTGCAGTTTAAGTGGACAAATCACACAGTGAACAATTTTAAACTGTTATGATACAGTATATGTTGAATGTTTCTTTAAGTCTTGACTGCTGGTTGTTAAACGCTATGACCTTGAGTCACACGCCTTAGCTTTGTTATTAACCTCATTGTTATTACCCTCATTCCTGGAAGCTGGATGTGTATGAGTGTGTGTGCGTGTGTTACTAAGGCATGAGATCACCAGTTGATTTCCATGTTCCTTGTTGTTGTTACACCCTAGAGTAACTGTGTTTTCAGTAATGGAGAAATGGAGATCAAATGGAGAGACAGGAAGAAAACATACTTCACACACTACTACTACTACTCAGGCTGTGAAAACTGTTTTATGATTTGTTCTGTTGCTCTGGAGTGAACTTTCCAAAGTTATTCCAAAAACCTTCAATTATAAAACTGTACAAATACATGTAGTTTTACAATTAATTAGAAGGATTTTGGATTCAATCTTGATTTTGACACAAAGCCAGTGTAATGAAGCCAGCACCAGGGTGATAGGGTGGAGATTACAAACTGTACTGAATTGTAAACATGTTTATGCCTCTCTCTCATCTGTCCATTGAAAGAATATGTCTGACCTCAAAGATTATTAAAACAGTCTCGTCTTTTTGTTGGGAGACACAGGTTTAACTTTGGTCTTAACTTCAAAATTGGTTACTTGTCTCCATCAAGGGACGATGAACTGGTTTATCCAAAATGAAGTAGCCCAACCCCACCTAGTGAACAAAACGGAGAATGCCATTTATGACTTAAAGTATAGATCAGAGTGTGTGATTTCATCATCTGATCACAGTTAATAATAACGATAATGATTTCCTTAAAGTAACTAATTAGATCGATAGTTTATACTTTATTCACATTAGTGTTTACCTCCACATCACCTAGCAGATATCACTCATAACATGAATAAAACAGAATGACCAATAGTTATTTTTATTTACAAAAATCAAGAACATTTTACACTCAAGGAGGTATCCAGTGTTTTGGATATGTCTGTCTAGGTATGTAAGCAGTGATCAATGTTGCAGTAGAGTCTTGAGTGTGTTGTGGTAATATTCAGATACAGCAGAATACACTTTAGTTCAGCCTAATTATTGACACTTCACCTTAACCTGTGCTTTAATGTATACTGAGTTCGCTGCTGCTGACTTTTGTTAATCAGACGTCACCCTGTAAAATGTAACAAAAACACACCTACATAAATGATAACACATGACTGACTCAAGTTAAGGTCAAGCTGGACTGAAGTGAAATTATCATGATGATGAGATGGTCATAATTGTTCCCAAGTGCCATAAGTGGGTTCTTCCTCTGGGAAGCATAAAATTGTTCAGTAAAGCTGAACGATTTGAATTATGCTTTAAAAGGGAAGGTCATAAGGTCCTCAAAATCAATAGGACAAAATCTCCGCAGACCACGAACACCAAAGCTCCTTTAATGACAATCCAGACATTAGTTTCTGAGACCCTTGGGGAGAATGTCACTGACAGACCCTGCCATGTACAGCGAAACAAAAAAAACAAAAACAACCTCAGCCTATATGAGGAGGTGTAAATAAATAAGGTTCAAGAAGGTGAGGTCATTGTGGGGGAGGGTTAGCAGTGGTGGCCCTCAGGATGCCTCGCAGCACCTTGTAGTTGTTGAGGGGTTGGTTTTCTTTGGGTGGGTAACAGGTCCCGCGATCTGTTGCATATGAATAAGGGAACCGCAGCACCCAAAGACCATCAGGCGGCAACACTAAATCTGTCTGCTCTGGATGGAAAACTGGGCAGGGAGGAGGACCAGGCTGTACCTGAAAATACAATATTGAAAGGATTAATATGACATATTTATTAATAAAAATACATTCATGCATCTCTAGTCAAACTAAATGTTGAATATTGCTACCAGACATGTGAAAGATGAGTTTAATCTCACAGGGAGTGCAGATATACAATGAGGTCCAAAAGTTTGAGACCACCTTCCATGCAAACTCCACACAGAAAGGCCCCAGGCCCCAGGTTTGAACCCAGAACCTACTTGCTGTGAGGCGACAAGTGCAAACCACTGCACCACAAAATATTCTGCTTGACTGGTTTTAAGACAAAATTCTGATCATCCGCTCAGAATACAACTATAGTAGCTTGTACACTGTCCTGGACAAAGCCCTGGGTGTCTTGGAAGTGAAGTGGAGTCTGTTTACCTGTGGGTTGAGGGTAACCTCTAGCGGAGCGTCAGGCACCACGATAAAAAGGCGAGCCAGCTGGGCGTAGTGAGGCTTCAGGCCACGGCCCTGGGAAGGAGAAGGGATGTACAGTGGCATATCGGTGTTTAGCACCCTGGTGGCGGGATCTTTGGCGCCCCCTGGCCCCAGCACCTTCACTATCTTATCAGGCCCAGAGCTAATGAAACGTCTTCCCCTGCTGTCTTCATACTCAAAGCCCACAAATGCACGAGCCATATCATCTCTCCTGCGACTCCTACCGAGCCCTCCCGTGCTGCCCCGCTTTCCCACCAGGGTCTTGTTGGGGGCTGGCCATGAGGAGGTGCCTCCGTCCAAAGGCTCCGTCAGGCCGGTATCCTCCTCTGACCGAGAGCGGATCACCAAGTCCCATGGTAAGAGGAAGGAGGAGCCGGGGAGGAAGCCTGGCTGTTCCAGACCGGTGTGGCAGTTGTATGACTTTGCTGGGCCCAGTTTGACCAGTGACCAGCTGGAGAACTTGGGTAGCAGGCCCTTGGGGCAGCCAGAGTGCATCATACCAGGGAGATACTCCACAGTGGATGGCTGGCGATCTACGAGGCTTGGTCTCTTTTGCTGGACTTGGGTGTCCGTGCCATCTCCATCAGCGTAGGGACCCAGACTGTCCGTGGACTGGCCCAGACTGAGAGCCAGGCTGAGGCTGGTGTCTCCGGGTGTATGGCTCTGGGCAGTGCTCGGCTCCTTCAGCCTCTCTGCCTCACCAGACCCTGAAGCCTCGGATGGGAGTCGCTGAGCTTGGTTGCAGGCTGGGGCTGGGTCAGGAGTGCTGGGCTGGAACACTGGAAACTCAATCCTCTCCAGCTTCCCACAGCATTTCTCCTCCAGCATCTATTCAGGAAGAGGAGAGTTAAAGAACATGTGTAGCAAAGACGAGGAAAAACTAATATCTGAGGTAGACTTGGGCAATGTGAGAATATTGTGTTACTATCCCTGCACTGTGGCTTAGCAAGAAACTACTACATCTGTTGAAGCAAAAAGACCGAAATTGGAACTAAAAGGACTGCAACTTTGGAACATAACCATTTGATTCAGACAGCGGACACCAAATGGGAAGGGATCTTTTTGCGGTCAGAATGGACAGAGTGAATAATTATAACGACTAATAACTCATTTAACGTACACAGTATTGTTTTAAGATAAAATATGAACCTATCCTTTCATGTCTCAGGTTGCACTGCCAGTGCGGGCAATGTTGCAAATCAATGAGGAAAAGGATTTCCTTTATGGCACTATTAAATTCAGATCTATGTGTGTGACGTTTGGCAACCAACTGAGAGAAGCTGCTCAACTGTGGTCGAGAGATTGTAGTGCGAATCCAAACCTGGTAAAAGTCATAATTGGCAGCCTGGATGTCAAACGGATCCTCCCGAGGAGCCTGTTTCCTGCCACAGTTACAGGAGCTGGTGGAGCGCCCCCTGCTGTTGTGGTTTAGGATGGGTGGGTTGCGATCCATGTCTGGCTTCTCTCCTGCAGAAATTAGAATTAGATTTCATGCATTTGTGTTGTTGGTTTCTATCCTAATTACTTTCAAATGTATATAAATATACACATATAGAAATGCATTTACATTAACACACACAGAACTGTCTGTATATTTTTGTAGAAGATGTTAAACTATCCAGCAGAGTGTTACACCCACAGTTAACCAAACGTTTCTGATTTCGTTGTTTCACTTAGTGCATGTCTAGCCAAAGCTGGCTGAAATGTCACTGTTAATGTAAACTACACAGGAGATTCCAGTGTGCAGATAATTATTATTATTTTATACCCTATATATTATCTTCACCAATGTCTGTCCTTATTAGCCCCGATGCACTGTAGCAGAGGAAAATAAAGTGGAAGAGAGTGTTCACCTGGCTGAGGTAGTAGGTGGAACTTGTGAACACAGTGCTGGTCAGTCAGGCTTCGCTCCTCACACAGCTGGTGGCCGTTACTCCAGAACTTGTAACAGTCCTCATGAAGCTGCAGTGCGTAGCGCTGAAAAGCCACGCCACGAGCATGCTGGCTATACACCCGCAGAGCTTGCGCCAGCTGGTTTTTGTGCACTGTAGTGGTGTAGTTATGAGGAAGGTTGGACTGGTAAGCGCTGTGAGCTAGTGGCAGAGCTTTCTGACACCTGTTCTCAGAGAACTTGGTGTCAGCGTCAAGAAAACCCTCCAAAACCTTCAGCTGGCTTTGCACTTTCGAGGCTAGCTCAGCTATTTCTTCATCTGTGTTGCTAATTAGGACTTGGTGGAGTCTGGAGGCGACCTGGACCCATTTGGAGTAGGTTGGCAATTCGAAGTGCGAAGGCTGTGGGTTGCGGCCGACACTATCATCAAAGCCTTTCTTGGTCAGCACCAGCTCTACATGCTGCCAGAGGAATTCCTTCAAGCTGCAGTCCACCAGCTGAGCGCCCATCGACATGCTGCCTGAATCTCCACTGCAGATAGACTGCCGAGCCGAGCGTCGCATCTGCTGGTAACGCCTCGGTCCTGACACCGACGTGGTGGAGTCTTGGTCACACAAGATGCAGTTGGACCGCAGCTGACCAAGCAAGGCACCTACAGGGTCCTCGTCTGCTGTTGGTATCACATACACAAATGCCTGGTTGGCGGGCACGGTGAACAAGCAGTTGCTGCTTTGGTTGGTAAGGACTCTGCTTTTACGGAAGATGCGATAAATTTGGTCCTCCAGGGCATGCTGCAGCCTCCTCCTGGGAGAGTGCTTTTTGGGTTTGTCTGGATTCCCTCCTGACTCTGAGCCGTTTGCAGAAACCTTTGGAATAACAAACAATAGAGGTGTCATTTAAATTTATATAAAACTCACTTGACTATTGTGTACCTCCAACAAAATTTCAGACCTTTTTAATACTATAGAATGGCAGTGATATAGATTTATATTTTTTATATATTCTAAGTATGATGACAAAGGAGGGATAATATCTCCTAGAATTATTTACTTTATCATTACAATGATTCCTATGATATAATTAATCAGATTAATGTGTAGTAATTGAACACTGAATCTGTGGGCTTCAGGCCTCCTGACTGTTGGGGCCCTGAGAAAATTGAATGCTTTGGCGACAGGTTTTTTACTTGTCCCTGTAAGAAATATGCACAGCTGCTAGTAATTAAGTTCAACAAATGGACTTAATTAAAAAGAAGACCTTCAGAGTGCCGTTCATCTGGAAGACGAAGAGCAGGCGCGGAGGGCAGGGCCGGCAGTTCACCTTCCACTCCTTGGACACTGGACAGTCTTTGATGGCAGCTCGGATCAGAGGCAGCACCTTCTGTCGCAGGGCGTCCAGGGCTCTGAAGAGCCGGTCGTAGGTCACATCGAAGGTCTGGTTGGGATGGACGAGCAAGAGAACATGGCAGACGGAGAACATGTAGAGCAGGTGGAGGCAGTGCTGTCTGTCGAGGCCTTTCCAGAAGTCATGGGAGTCAGAGTGGCCGGTGCCGGCGCTCAGAGACTGGCAGGCTTGCAGCAGCTGCCGGCTGTCGCAGACAGAGGAGAGCACCAGGTACAGCACCCGGTTCTCCTGGTTGTAGAAAGCCTGGATGTGGCTGTCTGCGGTGCCGCCGCCCTGCGGTCCGCCGAACAGCGAGAAGATATGTTTGTCTGCCAGAGTGTTGATAAGAGACTCCTTCAGCGGCCCGGGCTGCATGTTGCTTTTTCCGAAAATACCGACAACACACAGGCCGTCGTCCCGGTAAGCAGCGTCCTCCAGGAAGTCTGACTGAAGCAGAGCCCCGATACTCACAGGGACAGCCATATTTGCTTCCTTCATGTTGAGAAGTTAGGGGAATAAAAACAACGACGCACCCCTTTCCGGGTTCGTAACAATATGTCCGAGTAGATACAACATCTGTTTCACCGTTCCCGTGTTTGTTACATGTACTTTCTCATCGACTGGAGAAAGGAGTTTTTTTTTTTTTTTTAAGTAAAATTAGCAATTCCACAAAAAATATTACAAAATTAAATTCGGTACATAAGTATTATCAGCCAAAGGTAGCCCTAAAGTTAAATTAATTAATAAAATCAGTAGCCTACAATTCGAACAAATTATTACTATATATAGCATAGCAACCAAGAACGACAACAACAATAATAATAATTAGAAGAAGAAGGGAGGGATTATATAGGCTAATACTGCCATCTGTTCATATAATGATGGTTTATAATGTGGTTTGTATACCTTTCTTTTTATAATTTACTTTTTATTTACTATTACTATTTATCCCTTTTATTTCTTTGCTTCATAAAAGACACATGGAAATAAAATTAATAGGAGTGCAGTCAAGTTTCAGATTATTGTCAAAACACTGGATAAACCGTTAAATATCTACGTTTATGCATTTAAAATTTTGCTATTATCACTTTTACTTATATAGCTTTCTGTACTCTGCGTCTTTGGATCTCACCATAGTTAATAACATTTTTTGGTAGCCAACCACCTGCAGCCCTTCTTACACAAACTCTATATAAGGGTGTAAGTCATTAAGGGTCTTAAGATGAGTTTATTTAATGTTCGGAAGTTAAATGAAGTGTTCTTATTTTGACAATGTTATATATATTAAAATCTTGTTACTGGTATGCATTCTGATACATTTATGTATAGGTATCATTTAGCAATTGAAATTGCTCAAGTTGGAGGCAATTTTTGTTCATTAATGGTTGACGGTTTTATTCTATAAGAATAGCCTATATCATATTTTAGCTCATCATATGTTTTACATTTAATTACTTTAAGATACAAATGATGAATAATGATAAACAGAAAATAATGAAAATAATTAGTTATAATAGTTAGTTAATAGTTAACTCTGTGTATCAAGACATCACTTTTGTAGTTCTTCATATGGCTCAAATAGAGTAGGAGAATTTGTTTTTGGTGCGCACGTAGAGAATTTGCGTATGTGGATGTGAAATGTAGCCCTCAAAATTTAAATTAATAAAGCCACCCTCATAATGTCTACAATAAGGTCTCAGACGTCAGACGACAAGAGGCGGCGTGCGCGTTCATGAACTAAATGTAATGTAAACCGTTGCGTTCTCTCTGACGTCAGCGCCCACTGATTATCCGAAATCCCCGATAACGCGGTGCGCGCTCCCGCTCGGCTCTGAATGGGGACTCGGTCCAGCTTGTGACAGCTCCACCGATAGTATAATCGTAGACGCCACGGTCCGCTCATCCAGTCAGATCCGCTGCTTCCAGACACACCGGTAGTCAACGGCACTGCTCCTCCGGTAGTACACACTTATTCACTCAGACTGTTAGAGCACTGACAGTCCAATTACTTCGGTTAGTGTACTGACTCTTCTCTTCTTAGCCCGGCAAGTTAGTGTACTGACGGGCGGAGCTGTCTCTGTCTGTCCAGGAATGAGAAATGATGGCCGGCTCTGCAGCAGAGGAGAAAACCTTCCGACGGTTCCTGGAGCTCTTTCTTCGGGAGATGAGAATGCCTCTGCAGGACAGCGACCCGGTGCCGATGCGCCCCTTGACGGACCTGGTGTCTGAGGACGAGGTGGAGGGGGAATGCCTCGACCTGTGTCTCCAACACCTCTACAAATAGTTAAGTGTCCACTTTCTGTCATGGCATGCTGTTATTTTGTGTGTTTAACTACAAATGAACCGACTGCAGCGGCCAAACGGTCGTGTTTTGAACGTTATATTGTGGGGAGCTGTGTGGTGTGGAGGTGAGCGGGCATGCGACCCTGGCTGGGTCCACATCAGATAAGCCGGGGTACCCGCTGGCTGCCTCGCAGGATGCCAGCTACCTGCTTCATACCATGCTGGGTGTGTCCAACATCAAGTTTAGACAAGTGTCTTTGCTGAAACGCTATGGGGGAATTAAAGCTAAAGCAGAAGTTAAAAGCGGACACTGAGCGACAGCACTGCCTCGACCAGTGTTGTGTTGTATTACACTATATAATATGCCTGTGTATTGCCTCTTATTTCGTTCGTGCCACAAATTGACGCCAGTGGTGACAGAGCTGGAGGTCTACAAAAGGTGAACCCCTGGTTTTGCGTAACAGGGCGACGTCATCATGGTGTAGGAGGGGGGAGGAAGCCATCGCCATCACTGCTGAGCGCATCTTCATGCAGGCTAAAAATAACCTCATCGGTTACGTTATTAGTCTCAATCGTTAAGACTGATCGTTACGCTCTAAAAATGCAAGACACGCACTTAAGTGTCACAGATTGAAATGTTACCTTTTGAGAATATCTGTAGTTCACAGAATTACTCGAACCTGCTCATGACATTTTGCAGATAAGGACTGTGTTTCACCTCAGTCTCACTGTTGCCCTTTAAACGAGCTGCATAGGAAAGAAGACATTTCCATTAAGAACGGGCATTTCAGATGTATGTTAACAATTAATTTAATACATTTTACTGCGAAGGGATACTCAGCTGATAGCGTGTACAGTTTTAATTAGACAGCCACTGAATCAAATCCTCAAGAATCCAGTATTTAAGACATGGACAAACTTGGCAGAAACAGTAAAAAAAAAAAAGAAAAAAAGGAAGAGTCTAGCTGCTGAGAGAGCTCTGCCCTGAGCGCCGCTGCCTGGCCTGGTTTCGAATCCAAAATAGGTGCAGAAACTGTGCTGGGAAGAACAGGATGGAAGGACTCATCTAGGGCACTGAGTGGCAAGGGGACTGCTGCTTGCATGTACAGTATGTCTGAAATTGACTTCACTGGTCAGTTTGCACACAGCCCCTGTAGGCACACATAAACTGTGCTTCTCAGAACGTCAAGATGCACTCCAGCAGTGATGGAGAGCACATGTTGGTGGCAGGATGGATCATATAACAGCCAGTAGTGCTGTCAGGTGTTAAGTCGGAGAGCAGGATGACTCTTGATTGGAAGGGTCCACACGTTTGATCGGTTGGAGCAGCCATGTCCAGATCCATATCACACATTCATATGGTAGTCATGATGTCCAGGTTTGATTGGCTGGCTGAGTATAAGGCTGTTCAGCATTCAACATGCAACATCTTGCACAACCCGCGCTCCTTCCACTTCTACACTGGGAGGATGCACAGACACACATGCCTATACTGTTGATGACAAACATTAGAACAGAGTTTTAAGTTTTGTACTGAAACCTGATTATTTCGTTGTCTCCAGGCACATTCGGTGTAGAATTTAAGCCCCTTTAAATTTACAGAGCTCCTGTGAGTCTTTAGTCTGCGTCTAAAGGTCATGGGAGCTGTAGTTGTTGAATGTTAAAGGAATAGTTTAACATCTTGAAAAAAAACACACTTATTCGTTGTCTTTCCAAGAGTTAGATGAGAAGATCAATACCACTCTCCAGTTTGGTATGGTAGATGTGTAGCTGGAGCCAGCAGCCAGTTAGCTTAGCTTAAGAGCTGAAGTGATTAATCGATTAATCAGTTAATCAGTGGAAAATCGTTAAGCGTTTTAGAAATTTTTTAAGCAAACCATTTCCATTTCCAGCCACTTGACCAAAGATTGACTAAAGACTTAACTAATTAACTGAGAAAATAATTGTCAGATCAAGTTGCAGCCCTACATAGCTTAGCATAAAGACTGGAAATGGGCGGAAACAGCTAACTTGTTACTGTTCAAAGGGAACAAAATCCACACCTCTAAAGCTCACTGATTAACAACATGTACCTCATTTTATGTAATTTATACAAAAACTGAGAGTGGTATCAATCCTAACTCTCCGAAAGAAAGTGAATAAGTGTATCAGCATATCAGCTATCTTTCAAAACGTGAGGATCGATATCAGTACGGATATGAAGTCAGGACATGATTAGATTTATATAATCTGCACACAAACAAAAATGTAAAAGTCAGTTGGTGGTTTTAGGAGTTACCTCCAACAGACAACGTTTTTCACCATAAACTCCTCCAGAAAAGCAGAAAGTAAAGTCGCTTTATGTTCTGGTTCGTCATATGATCATATGAACTGTGAGGTAACAGATTTTCTTCACCATTTATTAAAGAATCTGTCGCTTTCATATTTTTGCTTGTGTTAAGCAGATCTGTCAGTTATTTGATTCATGGTATTTGTCAAGATATTGACAGTGGCTATTTTACCTATTATCTGTTTCTTAAACGCATTTTCAGAAAATGCTATCGGGCGTTAAAGTTGCTTCATCCATTTTGCCCACAGTATTATGGACAGAAATTCTATAAGTTTTAGAGCTGGACAATATGATCTCGAAAAAAATGTGTTTTGAGTGTTGGAATGTAATTTGCTGATAATACTTACGTAATTCTTTTTGTAATGAAGTATTTTTTTACAGTGTGACATTTCTGCTTTTCTAATGTGAGGGATCTGTGACATTGAGTAAAGGATCTAAGTACTTCTGTCACCACTTGAAAATACAAAAGTAAAAAAAAAAAGATTTTTTAACAACACTCTGGGCTTCGTGACAACTACACGCCTTCTGATGCTGAACAAATCTGAAACACGGTGCGAGCATGACGACTCGCTGTTGTAATATTTGAGTGGACATCTCTCCAAAGCAAATGAGAACAGTCAGATTGGTGTGTGATTCCTAATGTCTGTGTTACTACTGCTTATGACCAGGTTTGGCTGAAAGCTGAAGGTGCCTCAGTCATTTAAAGTCCATCCAAATCTGGCTTTGTGAAACGGCTATGAGCCAAACTCACCAAAATAACTGCAGCTCACCGCCTAAGCTCGCTTTGTAACATCCCACTGTCTCTCTTTTCTGGCTGAGGTAGTGTCTTATACATTTGGCTTGTTGGAGTTGATGAATCACTCGTTGGTTCCTCTCCATGGAGCAGTTTATCTTAGGAGACGCTATCGAGAGCTGGCTCTTTCAGCTGCTCACAAGGTCAAGAGGGACATTCATTTTTGTTGTTCTATGTACACAGTTTTTAAGCTGGTAAATATTCAAAACCATGCCATGAGTGTTGTCCTAAGTTTAAAAAAAAAAAAAAAAAAAAAAGAAAATAGAGCATCATTTTTTTTTTTTTCAGCAAATGGCCAAAAATATATGATTGTGTTGATGTTCATGTGACAAAGCCTTGACATTTCTGACCCTTGTCCATCAGGAGCAAAGGAGGAAAAAGACATTATTGTAAAACTGCGCAGGATTGGATGTGTAGACAGTTTGAGATGGATGGATGGTTCAACAAAGTGTTGGACTCCAAATGACAATAAATATTCCCGAACCTTAACCAAGTAGTTATTTCAACCCAAACCACCATGTGCAACCTTAAAGTAGCTATAATTTAATATTTTTATAACAGTTTATAAAATGATAATGTGAAAACAATGTGGCAATGTCAAAGGGGTCGCTCATGGCGTTGAACCTTCAGAGTATTATCACCTGAATCTGGATCTTTTGAAGAGGCGATGTTGTCTTGGTGATACTGGCGTCATATCAGAAGATGCTTATATTATGTACTGATCTGGAGGGCAAGGCCACGGATCAATGATGTTCTTTGTTTGGAGGACTCCTTGGAACAAATACAACTCGCATGGAAGACGCTTCCATCACTTTATAGCAGCTGATCTCACAGATTTCAGTGCTGTCTGGTTTAAAGTGTTTTACAGTGTAAAATGAGCTGGTACAGTATTTGGTTGGAGTCAAACCTGCAGACTCCCTCTCTGGTACAGGAGTTACGGGAAACACGGATCAGGTATCCACTCTTATTCAGAGCTGTTACACGATCTAATGTATCACTTATTCTTCCATTAACATTGCCTGCTGCCAGTTCAAGCTGTGGTCTCTGTGCATTTGAGCTCACAGCACACAGTGAAAATGTACACACGACACGGTTAATCTGTGTGTTTGTTTGACATTTTTCTCCTTGTATACATCCGTTGTCATGGTAACGGCACATTCATCCTTGCACCAAGTAATAATGGTTTTTCTGTACTCAGTCTGAATACAGCTGGCGGCGGCAGCAGGCTAGCCATGTTTCAGTCAGACTTCCTTACATGTAGCAGTTTGATAACACCAGAGCCGATGCAAGCAGCACACCAGGGTCTTTGGATTTGCAGTCACTGTGTTACTTATGCTCAGTAAAGTTGGGTAACATGGCAAGACATACTGAGAGATGATTTTAAGTTCATCAACCATCAGAGATTTTACTCAGTGGTAAAATCCCTCCCTTTAATGCCTTCAATGTGTCTGGTCATCTAAGGACAATGTGAATGTAAATGCTGTATACATCACTTACTTCTTAAGGTAACATGGGACCAGGCATTGCTGTGCTGGTTGGGAAAAAAAAAAAAAAAAAAGAAGTTCAGATGCCCATGACATAGGTGTATCCCTATTCTCTGAGACAGAACTGAAATAGTGAAGTAAGTAAAACCAAAATGCCAGCTGAAAGATGTTAAAAAAACTGTAGTTTAGGGGAACTGCAGAGTCTCTGTGGATTCATCACTTTCACATGTAAAAGTATTGATTTGTGCTGCTTTAACTCAACACCCATCAGTTGAAAGAGTGAGTTAACAAGATTCAGTCTGACCAGACATCCAGTATTGAGGTTAAATACCCAGCCCAAATAAAACATGTCAATTAATCAACTGCTGTTGGTAGGTGGAGGTAATATAAACTA